CAGATCCTCCATCTTTAGTAGATTCCATTTGAACATAAAATATATTTCTTGGAGCTCACCTAAATAGAACAGGGTGTTTGTTCTGACACCAATTGAAATTATGTTCTACGGGGGACAAATATTGAATCAGATGCCTAAGTCAATGTGTTTAACATCTTAAACAAGAATTTGACAGATGATGGAAAACAAGATGATCAAACATAAAATAATAAAGAACACAAGAGAATTGTTAACCCAGTTCGGAGCAACCTGACTTACGTTTGGGAGGCTTCCAATCCAAGAAAGGAAATCCACTTCTCAATAGTATTAATAGAATTAGTCTTAGATGAACAACTCTAGTTTAATGCCTCTTTCCAATACTACATGTGTCATTCTATTTTGAACTCCCCCTAAATATGAGAACATCTCTCACTTTCTCTCAATCATTGATCAACTCAATAATTAGAGTATTGAATATTGAATTATAACTCAACTAATAAATTAAATTATACGCCTTAAGATATGAATGCATACGCTAGAGTGGTGCACAAACAATAACACAAACAAAATACTCAAAATAGAAACCCTAACACAAAAATTCTTCAACACTTGCACACCTTCAAACGTTAGATTTGAGTCTCCTTAAAAAAACTAAGAGCATAAAAAAACATTACACATTAAATAGCAATGTAATCCGAGTTTTTCTCCAATTAGCATAAGATTTGATCACACCCAGATCTGTAGAGGTTTATGTTTTGATTTGTTTTTCTAAAAACCTTAAAATTTTTTTTTTCTATTGATTCAATTTTAAATCTTCAATTAAATAGATTTGATCATATTCAATCTCCCGAACAAATCTAAATCACACATTGCTAAAAGATAACAACAAATCACATTACACATAACTAGAAATTACGCTCAGACCAGCAACGACATTGAATTGTTGTCAAAGAGACAAATGTCACATGCTGCAACATCATATCCCGCATATATCCTTTCTTCATCAAATATCTTGTACACTCTAAATTATTTTGCAAATGCAGTCCATAAAAAATAATAACATATATATTGTCGTCGGAATTAAACATAATTTAATGATTAAACAATAATCTAATTATTACATTATATTTTTTATTTAACTAAACTATTACATGTCATAAATCATATGAGTGACCCACTCATCATATCAAACTTTTTTTTACTAACCACCCATAAAAGTTTATCTTCTATTTATTTTATTTCTTACTAAAATGCTACTAACACAAAAATGATATGTATAACAAATGATATATAGAATAAATTGGGAATGAACAAACCAAAAAAATAAATATGGGTGATGTATATTTACTGTTTGGCTTAATAAATATTTTAGTACTTTAATTTAATTTAATATTTTACTTTAGTTCTTTGATTAAAAAATATTATTAATTAGTGTTTTAACTTTATTTTTGTTATTTTATTGTCAGAAATTAACAAAAAAACTAAATAAGATAATCGAAATGAAAATAAGAAATTAGTTTATAATATTTTTTAGTTAAGAAATTAATATAGAACATTAAATCAAATTAAAAGACTTAGAACCTAAATTAAAGATGATAATGGGTACTCATAGATATTAGTTTCTCGTTATCCATTCCATTTAGTAAATATGATATCCGCACCCGCCTCATATCTGTACGGGTTTCCGTTAGATAAATATTTATAAATTTTAAGATACTCGCGGATATACGAGTATCTCTTGATACTTTTACTTTTTTTAAAAAATATATAATAAATTATATTTTTTATTCTTCAATCAAATAATTTTAAATTTAACACATAATAATAACGAAATAATAATAATAACAATAATAACAAAAATAAATCACATTTATTTTATTTCTTTTTTTTTGCAAATAATCATATTATACTCAACAAAATCATATTAAATGAATTAATATTTAAGCATTTTATTAATTATTAATAGATATGAATACCCGTTAATATGAATATCATTAAATCTATATTTATACTCGTAATTAAACAAATAATTAAATATTCATTTATTTTATTTATAGATGTCCATTAAAACATCATATCCATATCGGTGACAGATGCTACAAACTTATTTTGCCATCCCTAACCTAAATATGCCATACAGTTCTGTTTTCATTAAAAAAAAGCAAATAAATACATTCAGACAAAAACAATAAATTAAAAACCCTAAAACAATAAAACTCTGCAAAATGCAGCCACGGGCATTCTGCACTTATTGCATCAGAAACCAGAAGTAGGAGTCGAAGCACTTAACGCTTCCACAGTTCGTCGTCAGTCGCCACATACGGTGAGAAACTCCATCCACTGAGATCTCCTGCCGCCCATTCACAATTTAGGTCAGAATTTCTAATTTCTCTATAACCTCACGATATTCATAGTCTTAATTTTAATTTAGCTATAGAGAATTCGTGTGCGCGTGGGAGTCCCTGATAATTAGGTCTAAATAAACCCTTGTTTTTTTATTTATTTCTGTATATCATGTGACATCTCTGAAAAATGGCCTGTCATTATTTTTTTAAATTATTGTTGGCGATGACGTGTCATAGTGTTAGTGTCGTGTCTCCGGTGTCCATGCTTCATAGATACTCCGTTGTTTATCTGTTTAGTTTATGTTTTTGCTGAACTGATATAAACTTGTGTTTCAAAAGAAAGTCATGGCAATGAACCATGTTAGGTCTATGAGATGCATTCTTAGCACGAAAGAAGCAGCTGCGGTTGCATATCAGCGAACTTATGCGACTGGTAAAGCAAAGAAAGGATCGAAAGGGGGTGCAGCTGCCGATGGACCCAAAGCGTCTTCTCTCAGCAAAGAAGTCAAGGCAAGTACCGTTGTAGGTGGAAACATTCTCAAGGAAGGAACCGATCCAAAAATCCTGCCTGACTCTGAATACCCTGACTGGTTGTGGCATCTGCTTGATAAACGCCCCGCACTTAGTGAGTTACGTAGGAAGGATATCGATACACTCCCTTATGAAGATCTTAAACGCTATGTTAAGCTCGATAATCGAGCTAGGATCAAGGAGAATAACTCTCTCAAGGCTAAGAATTAGTTCAATGTCAGTAAGAGAACTGGGGGTGGTTTAAAGATCAAACAGCGTCAGAGGTATTTCTTTTTCAAGTTTATGTGGTTCTCAGTTTTGTGAGATTCCTTTGAGTTATTGATTTACATTTGTGCAAATTGTTGAATTGAAACAAAACCAAATATTTGCTTCATTGGACTTGTGTTTTTTCCCCTACTTACTATTCAGTTTGTTTTTCCTTGGGATGTTTAGTAGATTAAAGCCGATTAACTCTTGTTGATTAAATAGAACACGCCACAATTTACTTTTTTGCCTTACTTTTGTAAGATTTGATTAGACCTGTATTTTCCTTTCCCTCAGACTAAGGGTTTATTGCTTACTAAATGATAATAGTAATATTCAATTTCTTCTACATAGGAACAACTTAATTTGGAGAATGATCAATATAGAGTTTATATTTTTATTTTTATTTCTGATAGAAATGCAATAAGATTTGATATGATTGGTATTGTTTTCTCTTGCACCATATGATTCATGTTACAAAAATGATATGTTACTGTTTGAGAAACTGAATGCCATCGAATGTTGTGGATGGATTTGAAGCAACCATATGTTTCCCTCCGGCCGGTAAACCAAGCAGACGGGTGTCGGGTTGTTGAAATAATACATCACTATTTTCCTTGAATAGTCATTTCAACCTAATGAGAAAATATTATGATTATTGATATTGTTTTCCTTGTATCTAAAATTCTACATATTCATATGTTAGATGGTATAGACTGTAGGGCATATATCTGTGAACTGCGGCACTGTGCATAATCAAATTCGGATTCTGTGGAATTAGTAATCACACATTTATTGCAATTTCGTAATTTAAACTGTTAGACGAACATTTGAGGATCCATGTCTGGTTTTCGTAAATTAGACCTAAAATGCTTAATCAGAACATGAGTTGTTTGATCTTGACAGAACCTATTCAGATTGATGATTCTGTGAATGTAAAGAATATAAATCTGCGTATAGTCTAACTTTGCTCTGTGAATGGAATATTGAAAAACTGTTAGGGGTGTGATGAGGGGTATGTGCTACGTTGAAATTTGAGCTCTTGTGAAATTTTGTTTTTATGACCCACCATCATAGCAAGAAAATGAAAGCTGAGAGAGGTGAGGTGGGGATGAAGAGGAGATTGACCAATGGCTTCAAACTTAAACCAACAAGGGTTTGGTGGTATTAATGTTAACACTATGGGTTAATGGATCAAAAGGGTTAGGATTTAAGTCTCTGGGTGAGTTGAGATGAAGGCAAATACGAACAAAAGCAAATGATGAGAGTCTGATTTGACTAAAGAGACTGGGATTTGGTATCAAAAGAGTGGCTTTGCAGGTATTCTTAGACATAGGTTGATTTCCGTGGCAGGGTTTAGGTTCTCCACCAGGGTTTAGGTTCTCCACCACGGCTAAATATGTGAGGATGGTGGCGTCACGGCACCTTATGTCCGGCGTTATTGCAGGATTTTGGCGCTCTGCCATAGACCGCCAGCCGCCTTTGATAACACTGCATTACATATGTATGGAGAAGAAAATAGCTTTGATACTTAGTGGATAGATAGTAATTATCAAGTGATACTTTCATTTTAAGTAACTAGAGCTTTTCTTTTATTAGTATGGAGATTATTAAGTTGTCTTCCATAATCAGAATAGTTGTGAGCATTTCATTATGTACCCAAAAAAAAAATGAACAAAATACAAAAGTATCACTTCTTTATATTGTTATATAATATAATATTAAAATGGAATTTATATCATATTGTAACAGAAAATCATGTCTTTTATTCATATGAAAATATTTTTACTACAAATATTTTGATTGATTTTATTCCTTCATGATGCTATTCACTTTTACATTATCAGTAATGTAAACGTGAAAAGTGTGTATTACACAATTTGTTCATGTATTGAGAATCCTTCAAGCAGATGGCTGGAACCTAACTTTGTAGGGTACATCAGTGAGAGCCACACGTTGGTTTCCATTACCATCCCTAAAAACTCCAACATTTTTGCATAAGGGCTTGCAAAAATTGCATACAGTAGGGCAAAACACAAGCTTATAGTCATCTTCATATTTCTCAATCTTGAACCAATTGGAGATGGTGTCCTTGCCAGGATTTCCAACAACCCCACCAGTAGTCACAAACCATTGTCCGAATGAAGAATCAAAATCATCAAGCGTCCATACGGTTGACTCCACACATATTGTATCAAGGGAAGTCTTAATGTTGAGGTCCGTGGAAACCCTAATAACACCTTTCTTAGGGTTAACCGGTGTAAAGGTTACTCCTTGACCATGAAAACCCTCGACCACCACAACATTAAGTGGACATGTCTCGTTTGGTGATCTTGCTACGAGAACAAAACCACTGCCAACAACACAAGGCCCGCGACCGTTGCACGGGGTTGTTTGGACTGGTTGGATATAGTAATTTATTCCGACCCGAACCTTGTTGCCTTCTATATCAACCACTTGCTCAGGTGAAGCATCAGCTTCTCCTAACAAGGGTTGGGTGGACAATGCAAAGAGTAGTACAAATGATAGGATTATAAATTTCATGATGAGCTTGTACTGTTGCTTTAAAAGTGTGTCTTTGTAAATTTGTGTTTATGGGAGTTTAGAGGAGTTATAGGACTCAATTTATCGATAATAATGTGATGTAAAACTTTGGTTTCAATTGAATTTATATATTAAAAAATAAGAATCAAAGTCAATGATTTTGGCCAACTCATAAAGTTTCTTTGTTAAATTATACTACTTTCCCCAATTCCACACGTCTAGTTAGCTAACAGCTTAGGATGAACTGAAATAAACAAATTGGTTTGGAATTCAGGGACATTTGAAGTTGCTTTCATATACTATACTGGTAAAGGGTGATTGAGGTATTTTATTTGTTTGTTTGTTTTCAGACATAGAATTAGGAATTTAATAATCTAACTGTCTGTTTAAAACAGCATTTTGGATGCTTTAATCGCATGATTGAAATGAAACTACTAGCTGAAGCTTCTGTTTAAACGCACGTTATATTGGTAAACCTTCGAGCAAACATACACTAAATCTTGAGCTGGTTATGAACACACTTCAATTTTAATTGAAAATTTGAAACCGCTTGTTTGTAATGTGTTCTAGATATAGATTGAGATCATACATACATGGGGATGTCAATGTGGCAGAAGTGAACCTGTTTTCTCCACGACTTATTTGTGGTTGACAATCTTCTTTCAATGTTTCATAGTTCTACTCTTAGAGTGTTTGTTTTAGAAGAAGTAGAAAAGAGAGAAGTTGAAGAGAGAATATAATATCTCTTGATTGGTTTGGGGAGAAATAGGAAAGAGAGAATGAAAATATGTGGGTCCCACAACTTTTTTTAATCTCATATAATAATATAATAATATTTCATATATTTTTATAGAGAATAATTTTATCTTTTCAAAATTTTACACAATCCTATGAATCTTCTTTATTTCTTTTATATTTCTCTCTTCTCATACACTCTCTCACCTATTTTTCTCTTTTCATTTTCTCTTTACAATCAATCACACCCCTGTGATAGAAATAAATCATCCGTAAGCAAAGAAAAACACTTTTATTGAATTCCTCTATATGTGAGCTTTTAGAGTGTATCATATACGTATTAGATGAAAAATTAGATGACCCTTTGATGAAAGAAATAGTTTGAGAAAATGTTCAAAATACATCCAAAACGATGAGATTATTAACAATAGATTAATAAATCCCTCATAATAGTAACGCAAGCTAAAAGGCCTAAAAGACAAGAAATTTCAAAAATAAGGTTGAATGGTTAATAACAAAATTGTAAAGTTATATGAGACTAAACATTGCTAATAAGGATGATTCCTAAAGCGATTAGAAGTTCAAATAATAAAAATTCTTAGTTAGATCTATATTTTATGTGGAGTGAAGTAAGTGGCGGAGCTAAAATGAAATTGTTGAGGGGGTCAAATATTATAATAATAATAATATAATAATAATATTAATAATAATAATAATAATAATAATAATAATAATAATAATAATAATAATAATAATAATAATAATAATAATAATAATAATAATAATAATAATAATAATAATAATAATAATTTGCAAGAAAAATATAATAATAATTAATGTATATATTAACAATTTTTAAATAGAATTTTTTTTTTAGTGAAGTTAATTTTGAAAATTATATTGGAAAAAATATTTTGTTTATCTTGGTGGTGGTGTTTAAGAGATGTATAATATAAAAAAAAATAAAAATAGAGAGCGAAGTTTTAAATGTAGAAAATAGAAATAAGTTATTAAATTTTGATCTTACCGGTTGATTAGAATCTGTAAGGTGGTCGGATGACGATCTTCTGTCAGACTGAAAAGTCGAGGAGGAAAAAAGGAGGTTGTACCTGCAAGACACTCTGACGATCAAGTAAGTGTCGGAGCAAAGAGATACAAGCTAAAGTATTAGGGTTTTAGTGGTGAACAATCAATATTCGATATTGACTCTCACATGTATGAAGGTTTATATAATGCCCCTGGCGCGTGGCCATTGGTTCCTATTTTTGGGCCTAGATATGTGGACCCGTGAAAATATGTAACTGCCAGGACTTGGTCATATCGAGCAGGTGTGCAAGTAACTAGTCGTTGGTTCCGAGGAGGAGGTAGGTTATGGGCAGCGGTCTGGTCGGTCCCTGGTTGTCTTGGCGACTTGATGTCGGGCAGAATGAGAGATGCTCGTTGATCACTGTGGGTCGGTGCTGGTCCAGGAGGAAAAATGATCGATGGCGCCCGACGAGAACGGGGAAGATTCGGGTCATGATTGTCTGGGCCGCGCCAAAGGGGGAGCCTAGATTGGGTCCACTCTGACTGTCAGGTCAGTCTAGAACAGTAACTCCCAGGTTGTTGCTTCCGGGCACGAGAGTGACGATTTTAACGCCTGCTCGTAAAACAGGGTACTTCTTACGGGGAGCATGAGTGTCGCTCGTTGCTCCTTTCTCGCGGAGAGATGAGTAGTTGGTCGTTCTGAGCTTTGGACTTGAAGAGGTAGCGTGTTTCGGGTAGTGCATCGATGAAGCGGCACAATGATGGCCTAAGGGCTAGGGTGCAATGATGACGACCCTAGGGTTCCCTAGGCGTGTGTTTCCCACATGTGGATGGTCCCAGCTATAAATGCAAGAGGAGTAAAGTGTTTTGTATTTTTCATTCTTCTCTCATACTGGTCGTTATTTCCCGCCTATCGAACATCGTTGTTTCTTGAGATTCACTGCTCGTTGCCGCTCTTTTCAGCTTTCTTTCTTCTTTAACTAGTAAGTTTTTAATTCTTTGTTGTCATTAGACCTTTGTAGTTCAGATATTCGTGATTTTAGCCTTAGAACTGCATGCAGTTAGGGTTAGGATCTTGTCAATTGGGGTTTTTTGGACGAGTGTTGGTGGTGAATGGTGGTTCTGCATTTTAGAGGCACCGGAGCCGCCGTGGGATTTCTTTTGACATTCGCGACGCACCATAGACGACCCTTGAGGGTTTTAGGCTGTTTTTCACGGACTGAGGCCTATCCTTGTTTGAAGAAGCGTTTGTTCGCTCAGATGCCTTAGTGAGAATTCCGGTCGAGGACACAATCTTTGTTTATCAGCGCCCTTTCACTTGATTAGTGGTGGAAGGTGGTTCTGGCGATGATGTCGAACTCACCTCTATCCTCTGCTTTTCAGGTACTATGACCAATAATATCAGGGATGATTTTTCAGATGAGCAAACTAGATCTCTCCAAGATCTACGGATGATTCTTGTAGTACGTCGAGCGTCCAGGATATTTCTAGGGGTGAACCGAGCAGGTCTGATCAACAGTTAGGGGGAGAAGACACGAAGATGGCCCCCCTTCGATCAGGTTGGCCTATTTCCACCCGACAAAGATGAGGACTTGTGGTCTTGGTTCGCCCAAGATCCTTGGGATTGAGTCTCTTATTTCTTCGAGCACCCCGATGAGGTTTTCACTGAGGTATACGCGTATGACGAAGGAGGTCGAGGGGATTGGTTGCTTTGGATCCCTGAGAAAGACAACCGGATCTTCTCTAAATATGACAATAGGAGGATCCCGATGTATGATATCATTTTCCGGGAGATGGGCCTCTAGAGCGATGCTGAACGTTTTTAGGATTGTGCCGATATATGATGAGGATGGGGTCCCCCGTTTGAACGAGCTGGGAGAGCATGTGAATAAGCTGGTTTACAAGTTCCCTTTCTAGTGGACGAGGAAGCACTTTGACAATAAATTAGATTCTTGCGTCTGGAAGGAGGGGGAGCTCGACGTCGAGGATCAGGAGAGCTTTTCTGTCTTGACCGCTTTCGTAGTGCGGATCCCTCGTGTCCAGCGAGTGGGCTGGGGAGGTAAACCTGTGACGGACAATAACGGGGAGGCCGTCTATAAGCTCGGTTTGATAGTTGTTAAGGAGCTCCTCGAGAACGAGGATCCTGTCAAATACTTGGGTATTTAGTTTTATGTTTTAAGTAATTATATGTGGTCGACGTTTTTTGGTTCCTCGTTTGCTAACTCTAATTTTTTGTTTGTTTTACAGATAGCATGAATCCCGCTCAAGAGCGTATACCCATGAACTTTACTGCTAAAGCGAAGAAAGCTTTAAAGGATGTTCAAACTGGTTCGGGGGCTGCTCATATATCAAGGTCGGGAAATTCATCTTCGGGCCAAGCTATTGTAGCTCTTTCTCCCGTTCAAGTGTCCTCGAAGGCGAAGAGGCCACATGTCGAGGGTAGTGTCGATCTGACCGGTGAGAAGGGGAAAAGGAAGTATGACCTTCCCCCTGTTGGCTGGAGAGGTCTTTCTTCGAGGGTGCTGCTCTTCAACTTCCCCAGGCTGAGGCCCTTCATCTCGAGGGTTTGGATCACCCAGAAAAGAGGGCAGTGTTGGTGCAGGATGCTGGTGGCCTAATGAGGATATTGGAGATGACCGTCGCTTACACCGAGGGGAGTTCTTCACAAGAGGCCGAGTTGAAGAAGCTACAGGCTAAACTAGTTGCCGTTGAGAAGGGGCGGAGTGATGAGGAGAAGGATCGGAAGCTGGCCGAGGGGGACTTGGGGAGGCTTTCTGAGAAATGCAAAGCCTGGCTGCTCGAAAAGAAGGCCCTGGAGGACAAGGTAGCGATCCTGACTACCGAGGTTAAGCCCGCTGAAGACGATCCGGAGGAAACAAAGGATCTGAAGACCTGGGCCAAGTTGGTCGCTCGTTTTCAACTGACAATGAATGACGCCCAGGCCGCCTCTGAGGGGAGTTTCGAGAACACGGTGAAGTAGTTACGCATGCTGAACTCTTGGGTCAAACTCAACACCTTAGGCATGAGGGTTAATTGTTATGTGACTGCTGGTAAGATCCTGGTCCTGGACTACCTTGAAGATCTTGTCGCCCAACCTGCCGGGGGTCTTCCTCAGTTATCGCCCGTCACCGAGGAGAGAACAGAAGAATGATGCTTAGAAGATTTTATAGTATGTTCCGACCTGCGCGCCGTTATTATGTAATTTTTTTTCTAGACAAGTGCCCGTTTATGTAATTTTT